GGTACAGTCACCCACACACACAAGATGACCCGGTTGCAGTTTCACACACATTGACTGTCCCTGGGATACAGTCAGACACACACTGACTCTCACTGGGGCACGGTCCTACACACTGACTCTCACTGGGGCACGGTCCTACACACACTGACTCTCACTGGGGCACAGCTCCACACACACTGACTCTCACTGGGGTACAGTCCCGCACACACTGACTTTCACTGGGGTGCAATTTTCCAACAATGACCCTCAGTCCGACACACACTGACTCTCACCGGGATAATCTTCCATATACACTAATTCTCATTAGGATACAGTCCCACACACACTGACTGTCACTGGGGTGCAGCCCAACATGCACTGAGTTTCAGTGGGATTACAGTCACACACACTGACTGTCACTGGGGTGCAGACCCACATACAATGACTCTCACTGGGATACAATCCCACACCCACTGACTGTCACTGGGGTCAGGTCCCACGCACACTGACACTCACTGGGGAACAGTCTGACACATGCACTGACTCTCACTCGGGTACAGTCTCTCACATTGAGTCTCACTAGGGAACTGTCCCGTAGACACACTGGCTCTGACTGGGATACAGTTCCACATACATTAAATCTCACTATGATACAGTCCCAAACACACTGAGTTGGTCTGAGGTACAGTCCCACACACATTGAATCTCATTGAGGTTCAGTCCCACACACACTAAGTCTCACTGGGATACAATCACATACATGCTAATTCCCACTGGGGTACAGTCCCACAGAAGCACTGGGTCTGACTGGGGTACAGTTCCACGTAGGTTAACTCTCACTAGGATACAGGCCCACACACACTGTCACTGACTGGGGTACAGTTCCACATACATTGTCTCTCAGTGAGAGACAGTTCCACACATATCGACTCTTACTGGGCTACTGACCCTCACACACTGACTTCCACTGGGGTACAGACCCACAAACACTGACTCTCACTGACGTACAGTCCCCATCACCCTGAGGTACTATCACACAGGTGCAGTGGCCTTGACTGCAGTACACTTCCACATACATTGACTCTCACTGGGATACTGTTCTATACACATCGACTCTCACTGGGGTACAGTCCCATACACACTGACTCTCATTGATGTACAGTCCCACACACACTGACGCTCACTGGGGAACAGTCCCAGACATGCACTGACTTTCACTGAGGTATACAGCCTTACACACATTGACTCTCAGTTCCACACTCACTGACTCTAACTCGGATACAGTTGCACACACGCATTGACTGTCACTGGGGTACAGTTCCACACACACTGACTCCCACTGGTGTACAGTTCCACATATATAGACTCTCGCTGGTGTCTTTTGCCACACACAGTATCATTGTGGTATGACTCCCACACGCTGACTCTCACTGAGGTGCAGTCCCAAACACACACTGACTCTGAATGGGGCACATTTCCATACACATTTACTGTCACTGGAGTACAATCCCACACACACTGACTGTCACTGTGCTCAGGTCCCACACACACTGATCATCTCTGGGGTACAGCTCCTACACTCTGAATCTCATTGGATACAGTCCTACACTAAATTGACTCTCACTGGTGTAGAGTCCCATACATAATGATTTCAATGGGGTACCGTGCCCCACACACATTGACTCTGACTGGGGTACTGTTCCTCGCAAACTGACTCTCACTGGGAGACAGTCCCCCACACATCGACTCTTACTCGAGTATGGCTCCCACAAACACTTTGACTCTCAGTGCCGTACAGTCACCCACATACACAAGCTGACCCGGTTGCAGTTTCGTACACATTGATTCTCCCTGGGATACAGTCACACACACACTGACTCTCACTGTGGTATAGGCCCACCCACTGACTCTCACTGGGACACAGTCCTACACACACTGACTCTCACCGGGGTAAAGTTCCACATATATTGATTCCCATTAGGATACTGTCCCACACACACTGACTGTCACTGGGATACAATCCCACACACAGTGATCCTCACTGGGGTGCAGTGTCACCCACACTGAGTATCACTGTAGTATGGTGCTCACACATTGATTCTCACTGGGGTACAGACCCACAGACAGCGAGTTTCACTGGGGAACAGTCCCAGGCATGCACTGGCTCTGACTGGGGTACAGTTCCACACACACTGACTGTCATTGAGGTACAGTCGCACACACACTGAGTCTCACAGGTGTACAATTTCATACATGCTGATTCCCACTTAGGTACAGTCCCACAGACGCACTGGCTCTGACTGGGGTACAGTTACACATACACTGACTCTCACTGGGAGACAGTTCCACACATATCGACCCTTGCTGGGGTACAGTCCCATCAACACTGACTCTCACTGGTGTACAGTCCCACACACACTTACTTTCACTGGTGAACAGTCCCATACACTGACTCTCATTGGGATACAGTTCCACACACGCACTGGCTCTTGCTGGGGTACAGTCCCACTGGCGCACTGGCTCTGACTGGGGTACAGTTCTATATACATAGAATCATAACAGTGTGGAAACAGGCCATTTGGCCCAACAAGTCCATACCGCCCATCCAAAGAGCATCCCACCCAGACCCATTCCCACTTCTCACCCACCTAACCTAAACATCCCTGGGCACAATGGGCAATTTAACATGGCTATACCATGTATCCTTCACATCTTTGGACTGTGGGAAGAAACTGGAGCACCCGGAGGAAACGCACACAGACACGGGGAGAATGTGCAAACTCCACACAGACAGTCGCCCGAAGCTGGAATCGAACCTGGGTCCCTGGTGCTGCGAGGCAGCAGTGTTAACCACTGAGCCACTGTGCTGCACCATGCCATATCTATGATGATACTTTAACTCTCAATAAGATGCAGTCCCATGCACACTGACTCTGACTGGGGTACACTTCCAGGGACATTGACTCTCACTGAGAGACAGTTCCACACATATCAAATCTTACTGGGTTATACTCCCACACACACTGACTCTCATTGAGGTACCGTCCCACATACACTGACTCTCACTGGGGTACAGTCTCACACACACTGACTCTCACTGGGGTACAGTCCCACACACACTGACTCTCACTGGGG